GAAGAAATTGTTGGTCTGTTGAAACATGACCTGCTGTCGGTCTCTGAAATTTGATTTTTCCAGTGCTGGTGATAATGGATGACAGCAGAAACACCCAATAAACAGGTTCCCTGTCAGTCCATATAACTTTATATTTACAGCTTAAATGGTATCAGGGTGCCAGAGCAGATGTATAGGACAAATCAGCAATGTACCTTTTATGTCCCTTGCTCCTCCATGAACCACTCCCTGCTACTCTTCATCACACTCCTATCAGTATCTGGTTTTCTAGCTACAACATGAACTACAGATGCCTGGTTGCAAAAACTGTGTGCAAGGCAGCCTCTAGGCCAACACTAGTGTTGGCTGACTGATGAGTCCCAGGTGTATGGTAGCATTTCAATGGAACGATGTCAAGTGATGGGGTGGACAGTTTAGGCGATTTATGCTACAGCTCATACATATCACTAATGTTTTGAGGGTGCATTTACTTAGTCTGTTTTGAAGCGGTCTAACTTGTAGCTTGCCAAAAGGTCATCCATTGCTGGCTGTTCGAAATGACTACTAGCGGTTTGAAAAACACTTCTTATAACCTTTGCTAGGTGGCAGGAGGTGCAAATTTATAGACCATACGTTGGCAAAACAGGGTAGATATTCTGGAATAACAACAGAAGAGTTGTGGCCAGCAGGGTGTCATAAAGGGAAGTGGGAATGCCATCAGGTGAAGTATAGCACCAGACACCATTTTCACTGTGTCAGACAATTAATGTACATTTATCTGAGCTTTGTGCATACAAAGTGTGCATACAATTGTTTCCAGTCATATTTTCTTCCTGTGTTCAGTTTGAATTTGTCATCAAGAAAAACAGAGATATCTTATTTCAAGTTTTGACATGAAGTGATATGGTCATGATGAAGCTGTAGAAGAAATGTGCTCTTTATGGCTGAATAGAGTCACTTCTCCCACTGGTGCTGATGGTTTCCCTCACTGTATGGGGGCAGAAAATTATTGAACGACAAGTGCAGAGAAGACAGAATTACAACATATAGTAAACACAGAGACTCCAATTACATGATTTATACCAAAGATTAGAATGTTGGCTTTGCAGAAAGGCTCTACTCAACAGAAGTGATGAGATATCAAGAAGCAGTAAAGATGGTTCTGACACATTTTATCTGTGGAGACATCAAGCTGGGAAGCCATTCCAGAGACCTGTGATACACTGAAAATAAACTCTGGATATCCTGTGTTTATACCAGAGGACCAACCAATGAAATTTATATAGATCTGTATAACATCTAGCAATTTCTGTCCCAATAAAACGTAAAGAGCTGAGAGAGAGAAAGCCATGTCCTATCACGATATGAAAGGAAACACCAGAAGTCAGAAAGCTGTGGATCAATGCACTCCCTGTTAACAAGAGCTGATGGATGCTCTGGTCATGTGATCAATGTCTGCATTAATCCTGCTGCCTGTCAATACATCAGCCTGGACAGACAGACTGGTATTAATCAGAGGAACACACAGGCAGATGCACAAACACACATCACTCATTGATATGCACGCATACAGTAACACGTTACACAGTAACAGCACAGCAGGTCTAACCTCGGACAATAGTAATTTTTTTGGTAAGGAAACAAATGTAAGTAATAAGTAAACTAACAACAAAGCAAAGCACAATAGCCTAGTAATAATGTCAACCAGTGTATCACAGTGTATTATAAATCTGCAGAACCTGGCTTTAGACATTTTGGTGGATATTTATTAAGGTTTTGCCTCCAGTGAACAGTGAATCTACATGTGTTCTTATTTACCAAGAGGTAATGTTTCGCATTTTTGTTGAAAAAAAAAAAGAAGAAAATCCAGTTGCTGGAAGTTGTGTGTTTGGTCTCATGCAACGTTAAGGCATTCTAGTTCAGGGATGCAAAGTAAGGGAGGAGAGAATGGAAGTTTTTACAGATAAACTCAGCACCTGATTTACCACCACAGACTGATCGCTGCAGAAGAAGGAACTGCAACTGATATTCAAGGCCAGGGAAATCAGGTTTCAAATTTGCAGCACTGCAGTCAGCATGGCAGCTGTTATTCACTTTTGCTTGTTGACACTGTTAAGAACACATTTGAGATAAATATTATCTCTCTTTTTGGGATGCCAGGGGAGAATATGAGGGACTTTTGCAGGCTTCAGGTCATACTGTACCATTCTTCAATTAGCTAGCTCTACATCTCCACTAAATCCATAATTTTCCCTGTTACTATCTTTAACTTAACCAACTGCCTCACTCAAATTAAATCATGGATAAAAGCCAATTTTCTAAAACTGAACTGTGAAAAGCCAGACATGATAATCACCAAATCACCAAAATTCTCACCAAATCCATCCACAACTTCTGCCTCACTAACTCCGCTCTTGTCGCTCCATTTGTCCACAACCTTGGAGTCGTTTCTGACAGCAACCTCTCTTTTGAACATAATGTTAATCAAATCACCCGAACTGCCTTTTCCCACTTAAAAATCATTGCTCGTCTCTGCCTGTCACTCTCCTCTTCTGCTACTGAAACTTTGATCCATGCTTTCATCACATCCAGACTCGATTACTGCAATAGCATTCTCAGTGGGGCATCATCCAAACTCTAGTACATCCAGAAATCTGCTGCTTGTACAATTCTGCTCCCATGATCACATCACACCTGTGCTAAAGAACCTCCAGCAGCTCCTTGTCCCACAACCCGTCCAAGTTAAAGACCTTCTCCTCCCTCTCGACGTGCTTCATTGCTACACCCCTTCCCCAAGCCTTCCCTCCTCTGACACCACCTCCTGTCTCAGCCATACTTGTCCAAGCACCGAACTATTATCATTATTATTTAATGATATGACAGATGATTTGCCTGGTAAGAAGACTCTGTGGTTGCAGCTTGGAAATATGTTTGTTGGTTTTCTTGTGAGATTTGTGATGGACTCAAGCTTGTCAACCTGCACATTAACATGACCATAAGGCTCATCACTCTTTACTGTGCTGATAGGCACTCATTTTGGTTATTATGAAGGATTAGGATTCTGAAGCTCTCATACACAGAAAAAAGCCGCAGTGGGTGGAATGATGTATCGTTCGCTCGCTACAAAATTACACAGCTATATCTCACAGTTTATAGAAGCACAGCAGTGTGTGTGTCCAGGTGAGAAAGTGATCTTCCCACCGTGCTTTAACCTCACAGACTATACTGCCAGGACACAGGGCACAGCTCTGTCAGTCCATGATTTCCATTTTCTTCACTGTGGCAGACCTCCTGTCTTGTTATCTATATGTGATCTTTCTGTATCTCCATCTCTTTTCTCATTCTGTGTCACCTTCAGTTTGGTTCTGTCCACTTCAATTTTTTTTTTTTGTCTCCCACCTTGTCCTTGTTCAGTTATCTCTCTCATTTTTAGTCACCCCACTTGGCTCTCCTCTCTATATATCATTCTCTCTCACACCCACACAGCCGTCATCCTTCTTCTCCGCCCCTCTCTTTCTCTCCTGTTCTCCTTCTCTCTTGCCCTCTGTGATAAAAGGCAATGAGTCTTTGCTGTTTATTTGGGGACCAGTCAAAGACAGATTGTTTGCTTTAGGGGACTTCTGCTTGTGTATGTGCAGTAGAGGAATTAATCACTCAGATCTTCCTAGTAAATCATCTCAAGCTGGTGTAAAGAGTAGAGAGAGCAGCAGAGAAGATGCTGATGTATAATCAGTTGCACTGACACTGCTTTGTACACAGACAGATGTTATAACAACTGAACTGATACAACTGATAAAACATGATTCATTCATGAAAGCACAGTGACAGTTCTGACAGCAAAAATCCATAGTACACATAATGAATGAGTGGGCCTGTGAGGTTTTTGTTTTACAAAAAATAAAATAAAATAAAATAAAATAAAATAAAATAAAACACAGCTGTCACAAACTGTACAAATTTGATGTCACGTAGTATTTGTCTATTAGGCTGGTATCTCTAAAGCATCCATTATAATTCTCTGAAATAAAGATGATATTCATGCACACAGGCAGAGGATAACCCATTTGCCTACATTATAAAAAGAAATGTATTCATGCTTAATGCTGGATATTGGGCCTCAACAGAGTATCAACAATGTTAAGTATTAAAAGTTACCAGAAATTGCTTAATCAGATTTTGAATTCCAATTTAATATTTCAAAATTTAAATCAGCTAATGAGAAAGCTTTGTTAAGTTTAGTCTGAATTTTTTTAGCCTAAGATCTTACAGTACGTTACATGTCTGCTGAAGTTAGCATTAAACACTAATGAAGTGAGAAATTAAGGATGTTTTTGACCAAATGAAGCAAAGATATTTTTGTAGAAAAATGTATACTCATTAAATTAAGGTACTGAAATGAATATAACTTCTGCATCAGTGCCAAGACTATTCCACTGTATTAATACTAGCAATAGACATTTTCAAACAATACCCAGCCCCATTCAAACAAACCGTCTGCCTTGTCATAATGTGCACATAACAACACAATATTGTACTGTAGCTCTATGTGGGTCTAAGTGACATCTGGGAGAATGTTCAGTAAGTTTCCCTGTTTCCACAAACAAACCAGAGTGAGATTTGAGAAACTCAAATTCAAACTTCTATCTCTGCCTACTCAAAATTCTAAATCATAATAATGAGTCAGTCAACAATGAACCCCCAAGATTTGACCTGCAACCCTGCTAAATTTGATTTGGTATAAATGGTGCACGACAATGCAGTGCTATCATTTTTAGCCTTTTGGAAAACTCTGGATGTGCCACGCTTGGCGACCTTCTCAAAATACAGACTGTTCCTTGTACCTGGAGTACTGGAGTGGAAAGTAGTCAAGGCTGGTAGCAAACTGAGTTCAGTTTCAAATGATCTGACATTTGAGTGCAGGTTTAGCATATGATGCCACCTGTAAATAAATGCCTTGGTCTTAATGTTGAAACGGATTGGCTAAGAAAGTATGAAGCAGCGTCTTGTTGATCAACACCTACCTGTCATGCCCGGAGGAGTTTTCAAAAATTTTCCATTGAAATTTTGGATCACCACATCGCACTTCTCTGTCGACTCCATCCTGACAAAGAGAAAAAGAGGGAAACACACAGTGAAACATTGCAGTACAGTAAGTGCTTTAAATGCCCGCCTATTTATGCATCCATGCTTGTTTGTCTGTTTATGCCTGAGTGAAATACCTTAGGTAGGCCTGAACATGAGTGTGTGTTTGTGTATCTGTGTGTTTTCGGCGGGGTTTCCTCTCCTTTGTCCCAGTTTAAAATCTCCATTCAGTCTGATCTGTTGTGTGTCATGTCCTCTTTGTCTGCCCCTATTCAGCTCTGCTCACCCAATCACAGCTCAATGACTAATTGCCTGCTTGGCAAGCAAAAGCCAGTGTGTGAGTGTGTGCATGTGTGGGAGAGAAAAACTGTGACGGGAGAGAGAAACTGTGAGTGTGCGTGCATGTATGTGAGCATGCATGTCCCTGTGTGTGTCTTTGGTTTTCTTCACATAGTCAGTGACCCTGAATGCATTCTAATCACTGGCACACTCCACGGTGTAACTGAGAAGACCCCACACACACAGAGGAGTGTGAAGGGGTGACATGGGAATAGGGATATGGAGTCCTTTGGTTGTAATTGGCAGGGGCTCAACTAAGGGTTGCACTGCCTCTTTCAAATATCTAATGCATGAATCTGTGCCATAGTATAGTATGCTAAATACAAATCAGTATTATTTTGTTTCTGATAAGTAATTATACAGTTGTTTGTGAAGGAAAAGCTCACATTTAAATAATTTTAGGTGTGACTGACACTTTGTCTAGAACCACCACAGCAGCAGAGAGTAATGAGTGTACTGTATGTGTCTTCTCATCAAAGATACCTGGCAAAGCCGACTCCTCTGCTCAGGCCATTGGCGTCCCTTAGTATCCGTGTGGAAATCACATGGCCAAAGGGCTTCAGCATGTTCTCCAGCTCCTGCTCATCCATGGACACCGGCAGGTTGGAGATGTAAAGATTGGTGGGATCCTGTTCCTGTTGCTGTGGAAAGAGAGTAGAAGTAGAAGATAAGGAAGTTGCTATCATCACTTTAATATGACTTGCATAAGCAAAAAAGTTAATGCCAGCCATGAAACAGAAGTGGCCTCTCTGAAGCCTCAAAAACATTTACAACCACTAGTTGTTAAATAAGAATAGAATTTGCATTGTTTATTTTAAATGATGAAACCTTACAACTATCACTGTTAGATCAGCACCTCACATGCAGAAAAAAGCACACGGATGGTGAAGGGTTGAGATGTTGGATTTATCCTCATTCCAGGAGGATAAATTGCCCTTGTGCAAAGCAACACTGAATTTTCTTTTCAAGTTGTTAAAAAGTTCAAAATACATTGAGAGCTGACTGTAGCCCCCCCACTGCAAGCTGGCTTTTCAGCTGTAAATGCATCAAAGGTTATGGCAGTGCTATATTTATGACTGAATACCCTACTGCAAAGTATGTGTGAAATTTTTTTCAAGTGGCAACCTCTCCTCAAACAAGGAATTAACATTTCATCAGAAAGGCAGTGCACCGACTTCACACTCAGAACCCCTGAAGCAATAAGGAAACCCCCTCAGGATTCATGGATGTTAACAGAGTTACATTCATTTTTTCCCACAGGAATGAGGGGACTTCCTTCTAATGTGCCTGTCAGTAAGTAAGACTAGCATACTTCAATTATTTTCGTTCTGTTTGGCAGCACTCTATTGAAATTATCCTCTGCAAGAGACCAAAGCCTGTGTGTGTGTGTGGCTAAAGCACTTGCAAATTTAAAGAGGGATGGCAGGAGAGGGTTTGATGGAGAGTGCTCCATTTTACAGACTTGCTTTTGACAGAGAAAGAAAACAGGGTATGATACTATACATGCATATTCTATAACTTATAACTACACAATTTCAAGCCATTACTTCACAATTTCATAAAACATTTGGGAAACACAGTCCCCCAGAGGGCCTGGGCTCGTGCTGTAAATGACTCTGATGTTTCATGAGATTTTATGACTGCCTTGGCTGTGTCTCTCTTCTATGCTGTAATGATGCTTACAGTACTGCATGCATTCATTATAAAGTTGGTAATCATTTCAGAAATCTTAATGACAACATAGATCTTTCATATTCCTCTCTCCACATGTGCACAAGCAACATACAGCACTGTAAGAAGCAAAACTAAAGCACTGACACTGGCTCCTGTGCATTGTACAACTGACAACAGCTGAATCAACAGTTGTCATGAAAAAATGAACCAAATATTAATAGTATATACAGTGGGTATGGAAAGTATTCAGACCCCCTTAAATTTTTCACTCTTTGTTATATTACAGCCATATGCTAAAATCATTTCAGTTCATTTTTTCCCTCATTAATGTACACACAGCTCCCCATATTGACAGATAAACACAGAATTTGACATTTTTGCAGATTTATTAAAAAAGAAAAACTGAAATATCACATGGTCATAAGTATTCAGACCCTTTGCTCAGTATTTAGTAGAAGCACCCTTTTGAGCTAATACAGCCATGAGTCTTTTTGGGAATGATGCAACAAGTTTTTCACACCTGCATTTGGGGATCCTCTGCCATTCCTCCTTGCAGATCCTCTCCAGTTCTGTCAGGTTGGATGGTAAACGTGGGTGGACAGCCATTTTCAGGTCTCTCCAGAGATGCTCAATGGG